ATTTTATACTTTAAAAGAACATTTTGTTTTTATTATGTTTCATTTTTCAGGGTATCATAATTTATTTTATTAAGCTTTAGAATGTTCTTCAGTTTAAAATGTATGTGATCCATTGGTTAAAAATAAATGGGTCAGTTTTTCTCATACCTACTCTTTTTCACTGTTTGACTTGATCAAGACTTTTCTAAGATTTTACACTACAAAATAGGTAAAAGTGTGTGACTTGTACTGTTTTGGTAACAGGTCAATATCGGTATCAGACAATTCTCAAAGTTGCAATATCGGTATCGTATCGGAAGTGAAAAAGTTGTATCGGGACATCCTTACTGAGAAACCTACATTTATCAGACCTGAACAATTACATCTCAAAGTATCTCTATCTGTTCTGTGTCTTCTCATCATTTAGTGACTTATTCCAGCTTTGACCKTCTGTCTGGTGGAAGGCACCTTGCCCAAACTCCTCCTCGTGAGGAGGGAAGCCTCTTCCGGTAAGACTGGTGATCTCTCTGCCCACCAGCTGGYTCCTACAGCTGGGACACCCCATGCTTTACCCCCGTCCAACACATGAACCTTCTGTCACACCCTCACATGTAAACCACTGCTAACAGCCACTTCCAACAGGAATATTTTTTAAATGCCTCAATTTTGTCTACGTCACATAAAGACAGACATTACGTATAATAGCCACATAATAATATCTGGTCTTCTTGTTTAAACATAAAAGCTATAAAGCCTCCTCCCTACTGCCCTCCCAAGCTAGTCCACCTGTCCCATGTCTCCACACGGCTGGCCAGGCATGGAAACACATGGTCCCAGTCAGCAMAGTGCACAAAGCTGGCCTCTAAGACAAGCCACCAACAGAGAGCTACAGAGGCACTAGATCATTCYGCGGACAAAATATAACTAAAGGTCTTTTCACACACAAGACAATGGCTATATCAGTCAGGTAAAGCTACAGCATTAGCTCATTTATGGTTCTTTTATGATGTTTTATGCAACTTTATACAGACATGCCAGTCAAACCAACAGAAAGAGCAACAACGCACATGTGATTTTTTTGTTATTCACACTAGACTTGACAAAAGGTTYTGCCCACTGTCACCTCTGTTCTTCAGAAAAGAGAATGTGCACCCTATTCAACCCTTTCTAAAACATCAATTTTGTTTAACCACATGTTCTTTTGCCATAAAGCTGAATTATAAGCTGACTGACAGTTGAAAATATCCTAAATTTACCCCACAAACTCCCTAGCTAAATAAAAACTAGCACTTTTCAGAGTATTGGCTGGGTACTTGTACTCGAACGTCTCACACTAACATTCAGACATGCAGCTTAGCATCCTGCACTATGATAAATTCTCCTGTAGAACACCTTTAAGTCTGTAATAAATGCYGCACATGCTTTCAATTATTTCATCATTACACAGAGGAACAATACTGTGTCATCCAGGAGCTGCCACCGTCACATTAGCTAGGACAGGTTCTTTAAAGCAGCACACTCAGCTAATTGTGATCACTTTCCTTTTTGACCTGTGCCAGACAGAAAGCGGATTTACCTTCCAATATTTAGCAGCAGGGATTAGAAGACTCTAGTGTATCACATATCCTCTCGGGTAGTGGTAAGGAGCCAACAGCACCTCCTACCTCCTGCGCTAACATGAAAGTCTAGCGTTCACTGAATAAGGACGAGATATGCTAAGCAGTTCTAACACTAATTAGCATGACAGGAAGTGGAGGGTGCTCCTTAGGAGTCACAATATTTTTATTTAAGATCAGATATGTCAGAGATGTCAGATGACCCTGCAAAATAAGATTCAAACATTAAAGTTTGGGGATAAGATATCGTAAATTGTAAACCTATATTCTGAGCAAGCAGAGTACAACTAAAGTGACATTTATTTACGGTAATTAACTCAACCTAAATCCTTAATTATAGACAAATAAAGTCTCTTAGAAAAAACTCAACAATCAGCAGAGTCTGTACCAAAGACAAATTGATTTGTTTACTTCCTTTACTGAGCAGTTCTCTATAAGTTTAATCAATAGGTCCAGTCTCTCAGTCACAATGAACAGAGGAAGCTGAGGAAAGGCAAAGACTGCACCCCGATCAATCCATCCTTTCATTTCCAAAACACTCATCCAGCGCCACCGCCACCCCTTCCTCCTTTCAGTGACCAGCACTGAGCCAATCCATCCCAGCAGAGATGAAGGGCAGCCATGCAAGTAATAGGAGCCACCATGGCAGTCGTGAAAACAAACCACAGTGGGAACTGCTGCTCAAACAGGCTTTGTTCCATCCTGTCAGCTATCTTGTCTACCATCAGCTTTATCAATGGGATGTGATGTCATGGCAGTAATTTTACACCCGTCACATCTGATTCACATATGTGTCTTGATGTCAGGAGAGAGAACAAAAGTCCCAGCGTCAAACTCGCCACATGCTCAGCCTTGGGTAATAAGCAGTCAGCACTACGTATTGTCCTTAACAATAAGCAGGATGGCTGTGAAAGGACAGCTGGAGATTAGGGACACACAAAAAAACATATACTCACAGTCTTTAACCTTTATGCAAACCAGTTCGAGTGCTTTCAGAAAGTATTGGAAAAATAACATCTAGGCAGCATAAGAGTTACAGAAGTGACCAACATTTCATCACTAATGAGAAAAAGTGTAGGAGATGATTAACAGAATGGTTCAGTGAGAATAAAATTGTACAGAGTATTATGAGAAAAACAATCATTTGAAGATGTTATTTTGGTCCTATAGTTGTTGTCAACCCATTACAAATCACTGGAAGAAAGTTAAACATTACAAGTACAATGGTGTTTAAATAAGGTCACCAGTATCAGAGAGGTCCTTCTAGTTCTTAATGACACGCTGAAGTTCCACAAGCAAAGACATAAAAATAAATAAAGAAATCCACAAGACTTSACTGTTTTAGTAAACTAACTTGACTAATAATCAGGAGGCTAAAAGCTCACATTTCATAACTTATGAGGCGTAGTGTTAGGGCTGGGCGGTATACCGTTTTGTACCGAATACCGGTTTTTATTTTTGTTATGATATGAGTTTTCTGAATACCGGACATATCGATTTAAATAGCGGAATGTTTCGTCGCGGCCGTCAGTGAACTGTTGTTTCCCGGGGGACATTTTTCCTTGCTGCACTGCTATGTGCGTTAGCATGCTAATGTTTGGAGCAGCTAGCTGCAGCCGCGGGTGGTGATTCCGCTGCTTATATTGACTGACGTTTAAAAAAAACAACCCGTTTTCGCCGTCGCTGAATGTAGTAAACACACCTCTTCAGTGATGTGCACAGTTAGATTTAACGCGGTTAGTTAATATGGAGACRTTATGCTGATGGAGACTTAACGTGGTTCTATTGTGAAAAGCCTGCAGGACGTAGTTCGTAGTGGAGTTGGAATTGACTGGTGTGCAAGGTGAGTCGTGCTGATAAGCTTTAATAAATAACATAAAACAATAAACCCGATCATAATCTTTTCTTAACCCTCCTCCTTCACGACTGGACCAAAATGCGTGACTACTGTCTCCAACCACCAGTCAGAGAAGAACAGACACAGAGGAGGGAAACAGCGACACAGACAGAGGTACAGTAAAAGAAAAAAAGTCAGTAAGCAGGGTTTGTACATTTTATTATCAGCTGAGCTGTGATGAAAAGAAAAATGCCGTCAAATACTGTGAAACCGGTGAAAATGTTGAAAATAACGTGATATAAAATTTTGATCATATCGCCCAGCTCTACKTAGTGTGAAATACACAAAAAATGAAAATGTCATCAAAATTTACTAAAATGTCCACAGCAGACATGTTTACTAACTAAAAGCCTTGTTAGATGACGTAGAACAGTTATTARGTGTGAAATTCATGGACAAATTAGTTCTTATTAGGGCTGCAGTCCAAAAGCTTTCATTTATTTTGCACATGCGCAGTGTGTTGGCGGACAGAAAACAAACCAAAAGCAAACAGTCAATGAACAAGACGCTAAAGAAAAGACTTGACTCATAGCTTTAACATGCCCTGAGGCAAGGGAGTGGTATGAGGTGAAAGTACTTCATAATTTTCGGCCAAATTTATGCTACCTGATCTGTGCACATTGAGAGGTGGACGGAAGAACTGTCTCTCTTTCTCGCTCTTTATTTTAGTATTAGTTCAGATCAACATGTATCAAGGACCACAGATCATAGAATTTAATTTTAAATCCCTAAAAACAGTGCGTGTTTTCTTTCCGCCCACCAGGGAAGTTTTGAGTCAGGTGGTGATCATGACCACATCGTAATCGTCTGTATTAGGAAATCTGACACTATCAACTGTGATAAACCCAAACTTTCCTCACTTTCTCTTCCATTAAGAGGTGTGGGCATCAAGACCAGTAAGTCTGTTGGATTGACTAAATATTATTGACATGTAAAAAATGGTACTTGAAATATAATGGCCTATGACATCTTTGGAGTATTAATATTGCACTCACTGACATTGCAAAAGCAACATATTTTCAATATAATCCTTACTTTTTATGCACTCTTTTACAAAACATTACCTGTTTTTATGGGTCTTCATGGAAATCCATCAAGTAAATCACCAATTTTCAACACTATTTTCTACGTCTTTCATAGCTGCCCTTAATTTGTACCTATGTCCATTGATTTGCACTGACAGGGATATTTATATACATTTAATTACTATATACATAATCTTAGAGACTCTAATTATATGTTCCATTGTTAAGATAGTCGTGTGAACAGTTAAGGTTCCAATCCTGATCTGAGTGAACGTAAACACATAAATTATTCAATGAAAGGTTTGGTGCACAACAATAAAGTACTGACAGCTCGTACAAACATGTTACAACATAAGTTGTGCAGCCTGAGCTTGTGATGGCTGTAAAGGAAGCAGCCTTCGGGCTGGGGGTGGGGACCATCACGACTTCCGAATTCCTGAAACCCCGTGAATCCAACTTCAAGGCGGGGAGGAGCTCCGAGTCCGGCCAGAGCTGCTCAGGGCGGGAGGTGCATCTCTTTCCCCGGCAACTAAAGTCGTCCTAGACGTGTTTATTAGCCGCGCATGTACGCTTTCATTCCTTGTTATCAGAGAAGGAAACACCGTCATCAACTGTACCAGGAACATGTACGCATTGCTGACAGCGCACGTGTCTGCTTTATGGAGTAACGTGAGCTCGTAAATTTCTAAACTGAGCCTGTCGTCTGGGTGAAACTCGGTCGCTGCCGTAAATAAAAACATATTACTGCAAATTCTGTGCCAGTTTTCAACGAGGCGGCTGAATCATCATGGGTGTGCTAGAAACTTTTAACACTAACACTCGCTCTCTTCTTCTTCTCCTAATACGGTTAATAACATGTAAAAAGGTTAAACTTACCCCAGAACTACCAGCTCCCCGTATTTCACCGGGTCTTTGGACGGGGCGCAGTGCTCCTCTTGGCTTGACGAAAACATGGGGCTTCTTTTTTTTTTTTTTTTTTTTTTGCTGTGTTAGCTACACGGTAATAGCGGCGGTTCGCAGAACACCGAAATTTCCTGTTACAAAACGCGAAAAGCTGGCATTTCGTGTCGCACACACATCACACCGTGTGTGTGTGTCTGTATCTACACGAATCGGACCGTCTCGAAACAAACTGCGCTCAACTTCCTCCGCGTGACACAACACAACGTAACTTAGTTGGCGGTCGAATCAGCTCTAAAGCAGATAAAAAACACATCCAGGAGCAGGGCCGGAACGTACCATTCACTTCTTCACGACTTTGTGTAGGGGGAGACGTCCTAACAACTCATTTTTTACACGATTTTCTCAGGACAAACTTAGCAATAATTATGTTATTTGTAGCTAACATCTTGTAAATATAAACATTTTCAATTCATCTTTTCCAGAGTCACTAAAACGATCGAAGCGAGAACTGAACACTTGGTTTTGACCAACCCGCCACCTCTGAGAATGGTACATTCTGTTATGTAAACAAAGAGTAAAAATTGGGGAAGTCTTAAAGGGATCATATTCTCAGGTTTGTTTTCTGTTATTCATTCAACTAAACGATTTGTTTGTCCTGATATTTTATATCAATATTACATGATTAATTTTTTAATAATAACATATATACATGGAATTGGAGTGGGGAAACACGTGGTGAGAAACACTCCTGAGGGAGTAAAAGGATCAGATTTCCTCATTTGGTCTGTGAACCTGTGGAGCTCTTTAAAGGCTTTATTTAAGTAGGATCTTATTTCTGTTTTCGAATACATGTGACTGATGATGCAGCTATTTTCTTGCTTATTTTGCCCTTTATGCATTTATTGCAGGTTTTAACGTCTTATCAGTCCCTTATCATGTAAGAAGATGCAATCAATCTTTTAACCCACTGGCCTCATTCTTTGCATAAATAGTTCTTCTAATGGCATCCTTATGTGAGGATGTCAAGGACCTCTCAGCTTTCATGATCACCTTTTTCCACTATCCCACGCCTGGTTAATCTCACGCCTTCCCAATGAATGTCCCACGTGCCACTTTATTCTTTTGCAGTCAAGCATCAACACTTTACTGCCTCTGTCTTGTTTTCTCAGGAACCTGCACGACTGGAGGTGTTGCCACTGCCCCAGACCCCAGAAGTGGCCCCGCTGCCTCTGTAATTATGGCCCTTTGTTTGAACTAGTGTACAGTTTCAAAGAGCAACAACTTTTGACACAAAAAACAAAAGGTRGTAAGGGGGTCAGTAGGGTCCACGAAGGCATTCGCATCCCCACCCTTTAGTAAGGAGCACTTTGTTTTTGATTTGTCAATTCTGTTAAAAGCTGCAGATGTTTGTCCATTATTAGCACAGATGTGTGAACATCAGCTACAGCGTTAAGCCTATAAGTGAAGGACTCAGGACAGCTGTTAATGCTGAGTATAATGAATGTTTACTGCTCTTTTGTGACGCCGTCTCTTTCCGCCTTGCTTTCATCCTTTGAGCATTGTCTTTGTTAAAAAAAAAGGAGCCTTTCAATTTTTAATTATTTTAAATTTTTTTGTAAATCTGTCTGACTCAAACTCACACAGAAGAGTTGGGGGTGGGTGGGGATCAAAGGCTCACCAGCACATACCACACTGATGGAGAGCAGATGCAGGGAGTGGGCTGCTTTGCTGAAGTTCTGCTGGCATAGAGCAGGCGTAAATCTGTGTTCAGGAGGCGGAGCCAAAACGTTAACAGCAAGAAGCGAGCWCAGCCCAGGGCCTACTCTATATGGGTATATTGCACAACTGAGAGACCGTAAACAGTGACAATGAAATGGAAAGGCCCTGACTTCCAGTCTGCTGTGTCATGCTGTACACATCAACTATCTGAAAACCTGCTGGATTGTCCCACATTCTACAATCTCAACCATTTCCCCATAAAGAATGACAAATGTGGTTTATGAAAAAACATGAATGGGGCAGTTCTTTTGAATGGCATTTAATTTTTTTTCTTCTTCTTCAAAACCAGGGCCTGTAAATCAAGTAGAAATCTACTTTAGTCTGCCCAAATCCAGTTCAGCAGCCTCCCTCGTCACTTTCTCTGCAGACACATCGGAGACGCCGTGYGGCAAGGTTTCCGTGAAAGCAAAAAGCAGATCTGCAATCAGCTGACTGTAGCATGACGGTGAGGGAGAATGTGAGGAATGTGCTGATCCCATGTCGCTTTGTGCTCTTGACCTGGCACCCCCACACCCCACCACACAGACACACACACACACACTCAGTCAGCACAACAGTCTTGTTGTTCAAAAGGCTTTTTAAAATGCAAGACAGCAACAGCTTTCTGCACAGAAAAATGCTCCATCAACCCCCGGTCTGCTCACAGAATCACAACGGGTACAAATAATGAAAAAAA